ATATATATATATATATATATCTGTATATATAATTTATGCCTGGATTTAAGCTTCTCTGAGCTTGTCACAGTTGAACTAAAACTACATGTAGTTCTGAGGCAGCACTGGATAATTTTGGGGAATTTTTCCACATTTGTTGCTTTATTCTACTTTTAGTTGAATCTAGGTTTGAGATTTTTACCTTTTAAATCCTGAATTTCAACTGTGGATGCCATGAAATCATTTAGATCAAGACATTCAAGGGCTTTTCAGCTCCCTGTCACACTGTGTGGCAAGCATCAGTTCTTCAATATTGCCAGTCTACTCTTATCTCTATGATGGAGGTGGAGCAGCACAGTAAATATTGTGTGCTGGGTTGACCTTGACTGGCCATCAGGTACCCATGCAAGGGCTCTCTCATTCCTCCTCCTCAGCAGGACAAGGGAAGAAAATAAGATGAAAAAGCTCATGGGTCAAGATAAAAAAAGGGAGATCACTCACCTATCACCATCACGGGCAAAACAGACTCAACCTGGGGAAATTAATTTAATTTATCACCAATTAAAACAGACTAGGATAATAGGAAACAAAACCAAAACGACATATACCTTCTTCCTACCCTTCCCTTCTTCCCAGGCTGAACTTCACTCCTGACTCTTCCACCTCCCTACCTCAAGTGGCACAGGGGGATGGGGAACAGGGGTTGTGGTCAGTTCATAACACCTTGCCTCTGCCATTCCTTCCTCCTCATGTTCCCCTGCACCAGTGTGGGGTCCCACCCATGGGATACAGTCCTTCACGAAAAGACTGCTACAGGGTGGGTCCCCCCATAGGGTCACAGATCCTGGCAGATAACCTACTCCTGCATGGCTTCCTCCATAACTCCTGCCAGGAGCCTGCTCCTGGATGGCATCTCCACATGCTGCAGTGAGACAATTTGCTTCACCATGGTCTTCTCTGTGGGCTGCAGGGGAACTGCTCCAGAGCCTGAAGCACCTCCTCCCTGCCACCTTCTCTCACCTTGGTGTCACAAGGCTGTTCCTCACACTTTTTTCCTCACTCCTCACTGCTGTGCAGCATTTTGCCCTTTCTTAAATAAATTTTCCCTGAGGTGCCCCATCCATGGCTGAGGGTCTCAGCCGTGCCCTGCACTGGGTGGGCTGGAGCTGGCTGTGTTCAGCCCAGGGCAGCCCCAGCCTCTCCTCACAGAGCCCGCCCTGCAGACCCCCTGTTACCAACACCTGGGCATGGACACCCAGCACATTATGTCCATATAAAGTATCCTGCACAGGAAGAAATATCTTGAGAGACTCTGAGAATGGTTATAGTGAATTTAAGTCATCTGTGGTATGTGAAATGGTGAAGGCATGAGTCCTTACCCTTGGTCTTGCAAGAGAATTTAACTAAAATAATTGCTGAACCTTACTCAGTTGTATTTTCCATGGGAAAACAGGTTGACAAATATTTTTACCAATACATATTGTCAGTCTTGAATTTTAAGAACCCATTGTTTTTTATATTTTTACTAAATCCAGGAAGATTAGCAAGAATCGTGTTTCTGCACCTACTCACAGGAAGAATGGAGCGGATGGGAAATAATGTAACAGTCTCAGCACCCGCTACAATGGTTCTCAGGTTTATAGGAATAAACAATGATTTCTATTATAAATGGAATCCCATGCCAGCAGAGGTTGGTGGAGATAAAGCATTACCATTTCAAAAAGCTTTTTGAGTTGAATTCTCAATTATGGCTGTAAGGATTAGCTATTTTAATCTTCTTCTTAACCATATACATATATGTATACATACATATCACATAGGAAAATGACATCTATCACTAAGCAGGCTTGGGGAATGAAGTATTCCTCACGACCTCAGTAGGGCACTGCTTGTACACCAAGAATTTTGAGGTTGTCACTGTGCGAAAACTGACAATATATTGCTGAAATTAGTTTATAATGGAATAGAAAGATTTTCAGCCCTTCTAAGGAAACTTAGCTCTGCTTAAGAAATGCCATGTATTAGTAACAGCAATACACCAAGCACTTAATCCTGCTGCCTAATGAGAGTCTACAATGAATCCAACAGGAGAAAATTGGGATTCTAGGTTTCACAACACAAAATAATTTTTCAGTTATCTACTTGAGTCAGACCCACTCTTGTCATTTCTCTTGCATCATCTAAAGGGATTTCAAAGATTATTTTTTCTCTGTTGACTACAAGAACTTTGCAACATTAAACATGAAATACACAAGCCTATTTCCTCTCAGGGACTTAGGCATTCATGTTACAGTTTTTACATCTCAACATTTAAGTTTAATGATTCATGGGGCTTTTTTTTTTTTCTCTTAAAATGTAAGTGAAAACATAAATACTCCCCTAATGTTCTACATTAAACAAATCCTATAACTGCATTTGTGTGCGTATATACACGTGTGTACATAAATATGTGTATGTATGTGTACGTGATGTTGCATTTACACAATGCACATAAATATTAACAGAAATGTGAAATATATATACAGGAAGACTTGAAATTTTAGTGATCCCTTTCTGTCCCTCTTTGTTTATGGTCAAAGCAGAATTTTTAACCTATGATTTGTTACTTTAAATACCTAGTTTGGAATAAATACAACATGTGTTTGCTGCCATAGTAATGTGAGTGCACGACACTTTTGTCTTAAACTCGGTAGATTGAAATCCATTTGTTTGGTACTACACAAGTCTACACAAAAAGAAATTTTGGATGCTCTGCACAACACATTTTATCATTACATGAAGAGGAAGGGCCTTCTAATTTTAAATAGTGTAAGTCAATGTAGAAA